CGGCGGCAGCCCTTAAATAATTTCCATTTCACACTTATGCAAATGAGATTCCCTAGGAATGTGTTATTGTATAAATATGGAATGCAGTAACACATAACAACTACCTAATAAGGCCGCCGGGAGAACCGGTAACCTAAGTTCCTATGACAGGAACCAATTATCTTTTATCCGCAAGAAAGGTACAGAGAAGTGGAAGCTCCAGTTCCTTGCAGGTGTTTGTTTCGATCCCATAGAACCTGAATAGAATCAGCAGGAGCTTGAGTTCTGTTCCATATGGAGGTGAATTTGCTGTCAGCTTATATCCGACTTCTGAAGTCTGGGGCTTCCTTTATATGTAAGCCCCCTATGTATAACGCTCCCATGGTCTCCAAGCGATTCAATGTTTTGATTAGTTGCCAACTTCTAGTCACATTTATTCAGGAATTGTCTCCCTGAGTATAAGCTAAGCTTCGAGTACAAAGACTTCAAAAATCATTTACTTCGAGCATCCCCACCCTAAAATCGTTATTGCACAAGAAGTGTATATAACGTTTCTTTGCCCCCTGTCCATTGTCTTCCTTGCAGCACTGCAAATGCGCTGCAAGAATATCGATACTCTGCGTTGGGCACTCCAGGGATACTCTGCGGTTGGGTACTGCAGGGATACTTCGTGGTGGGGCACTGCAGGGATACTTGGTGGTTGGGCACTGCAGGGATACTTGGTGGTTGGGCACTGCAGGGATTCTTGGTGGTTGGGCACTGCAGGGATACTCTGCGGTTGGGCACTGCTCGGATACTCTGCGGTTGGGCACTGCAGGGATACTCTGCGGTTGGGCACTGCAGGGATACTCTGCGGTTGGGCACTGCAGGGATACTTGGTGGTGGGGCACTGCAGGGATACTTAGTGGTTGAGCACTGCAGGGATACTTAGTGGTTGAGCACTGCAGGGATACTTTGCAGTTGGGCACTGCAAGGGATACTTGGTGGTTGGGCACTGCAGGGATACTTGGTGGTTGAGCACTGCAGGGATACTTGGTGGTGGGGCACTGCAGGGATACTCTGCGGTTGGGCACTACAGGGATACTCTGCGGTTGGGCACTGCAGGGATACTTGGTGGTTGAGAACTGCAGGGATACTTGGTGGTCGGTCAC